GGGAGCGTACGGGATCACGGGGAGGTGAGCGCGGGGGGGGCACACGCGGGGGTAATCGCGAGGGGTGTGATCGCAGCAGGCGTGGGTGTGAGCACGCGTGCGGGGGATCATGGGGGTGTGATTGCGGGGAGGGTGTTCGGGGGGGGTATGTGTGCACGCGTGTGATCCCAGGGGTGTGATTGCAAGGGGTGTGTGTGTGTGATCCCGGGGGTGTGATTGCAGGGGGTGCATGTGTGGTACCACAGGAGTGTGATTGCAAGGGGTGTGTGTGAGATCCCGGGGGTGTGATTGCAAGGGGTGTGTGTGTGTGTGTGCACACATGATCACCGGGGTGTGATTGCAGGGTGTGTGTGTGAGATATCACAGGGGTGTGATTGCAAGGGGGTGTGTGTGTATATGTGTGCATGTGTGATCACAGGGGTGTGATTGCAGGGTGTGTGTGTGAGATATGACAGGGGTGTGATTGCAAGGGGTGTGTGTGTGTGTGTGCACACATGATCACCGGGGTGTGATTGCAGGGTGTGTGTGTGTGTGCATGTGTGATCACGGGTGTGATTGCAGGGTGTGTGTGTGTGTGATATGACAGGGGTGTGATTGCAAGGGGGTGTGTGTGTGCACACATGATCACAGGGGTGTGATTGCAAGATGTGTCTGTGTGTGATCACAGGGGTGTGCTAGCAGGGTGCGTGTGTATGTGTGTGTGATCCCAGGGGTGTGATTGCAAGGGGTGTGTCTGTGTGTGATCCTGGGGGTGTGATTGCAGGAGGTGTGGGTGTGAAATCACAGCGGTGTGATTGCAGGGGGTGTGTGTGCACATGATCACGGGGTGTGCTAGCAGGGTACGTGTGTATGTGTCATCACAGGGTGTGATTGCAAGGTGTGTGTGTGTGTGTGTGATCCCAGGGTGATTGCAGGGTGTGCACTTGATCAAAGGGTGTACATGTGTGTGTGTGTACGCGCACGTGCGCACGCAAAGCAGGTGGGGGCGTGAGATCACAGGGGTGTGAACACGCACATGCGATCGCGGTGGGAGGGTGGCCCCGGGGGCCGGGGCACACGCGTGTGCGGGTGTGGGGGGGACAGGGGTGCCCCGGGGACACAGCACTCACCCTGGGTGCGGGGCTGGGGACACTGTGCACCCTCCCTGCACACGTGTGGGCCTGAGCACATGCGTGTGCACCCATTGCCCCCGGGTTGCACCCCTCCCTGGGCAGGGGCGGTGGGCACCCTGCGGGGTCTGGACACCCCATGAGATCCAGGCACCTCATGGCAGGGTTGGGGGTCACCCTATGGGGTCTGGACATCCCTTAGGGTCAAGGCACCCTGTGGTAGAGTTGGGGGCAACCCATGGGATCTGGGCACCCTACAATGTGCTGGAGGGCACCCTATAAGGTCTGGACACCCTATGGGGTCCAGGCACACTATGGCAGCGTTGATGATACCTTATGGGGTCTGGGCACCCTAAGGTGCGATGGGGGTCACCCTATGGGGTCTGGACACCCCTTGGCAGAGTTGGGGGTGTGTTATGGGGTCTGGACACCCTATGGCATCCAGACACCCTATGATGGGCTGGAAGACACCCTATGATGGGGTCTGGACACCCTATGACAGACTGGAGGACACCCTATGGGGTCCAAGCACCTCATGGCAGGGTTGGGGCGACCCTATGGGGTCTGGACACCCTACGATGGGCTGGAGGACACCCTGTGGGGTCTGGATACCCTACAGGGTCCAAGCACCTCACAGCAGGGTTGGGGGCACCCTATGGGGTCTGGACACCCTACGATGAGCTAGAGGGCACCCTATGAGGTCTGAACACCCTACGATGGGCTGGAGGATAACCTATGGGGTCTGAACACCCTATGATGGGCTGCAGGACATCCTATGGGGTCTGGACACCCTACAGAGGGCTGGAGGGCACCCTATGGGATCTGGACATCTTATGGGGTCCAAGCACCTCATGGCAGGGTTGGGGCCACCCTATGGGGTCTGGACACCCTACGATGAGCTAGAGGGCACCCTATGAGGTCTGGATACCCTACAGGGTCCAAGCACCTCACAGCAGGGTTGGGGGCACCCTATGGGGTCTGGACACCCTACGATG